GTGAACACTGGGACGGAACTCAATGGGAAAGGAAATTATTCTTATTTCAACCGTTGCGTATATTAGCTGCGAAATATGAATCAAGGTGCTATGACCGAAAAGATTTGATTGACAGATGACCGTTGATATATGATTGGCTGAATTTCAGATGTACAAGCTGATGTATAACTAACTGGCCTGCATAAGATAACGGAAAAGAAAACACAGATTTTAAGACATTTTTTTTAGATAGAAATTTCCTAACTTTTAGGACAATATGGTCTGATAAAGAGTACATTTATATACATGTTTAAGCCAGAATGATTTGAAATTTAAATATGACCTCCCTACAACTTTAAGCAAACAGATGCTAGTACTAATGGGAATCCCAACTAGAGGCGTAACCAGAAATATTTTATAAGGGTGGCCAGGCAATAACCAATGTACACTGAGGGGGGGCTGCAAGCTGATAGGCACCAGAACCTCAGGGTCAATCTACACTGTTCCAACAGGAAAATTAATGAGCAAAACATCCCTATTTTCTAAATAAAGACTAACTATACTTTCCTACAGCCTTTGCTAACAAATAGACGCATATATTTATACATCCGTAATTTCTAGATAAAAGGTATAGTGAATAAAACTCAGTTTTGAGTTCTGGGTCATAAATCAATCATCATTGTCATTACTTACCTACTTGTATCAATAAACATTCTGCATAAAATTTATATTTAAAAGCACTAATATCTACATAAATTGATTATTTGCTAAGTTTTTATTAAAATCATTATTTATCTTTGATTTCACTGAAGACTCCTAGATGATTTGCAGAGACACATTATTTTCTCTTTACCCCATAAAACACAAACTATAGTTCTGAAAAGAGCACGAATTCTGTATTTACAGTATCATCTTTACTGTTAGTATATAGATGTGTATATTTAACCACAAAAAATAAAATGTTTTGAATATTCCAGTTGAGAGTATTACTGCTGCCACCACCTGTATGAGAGGGAAAAAATGGCAACCCTTAGCCAATCTGTGGCCTCAGCTAATCTCAGTTTGGCTAGAGTACCCAAAACTGGCAAACACTCTGGCGTCGAGGTAGTGACAGCCCGCTGCTCAAATACTCCTCCGGTGATAACCCAACGAGCCGCAGGTGTGAGAGGAGGCCCAAACGAGGAGAGGGCACCATCTAGTGGTGAAAAGGGAGAACAAAAGAAAACACAAAACAACCCACACAAACTGGAATCCTTACACAACACACAGGGTTTAGGGAGGCATTACTCCGATAAGTGTATTTTCAAAACTATTATTGAAAAAAACCTTCTATACTGGAAAGTATTTTGTGTTTTTTTTTTATTTAATAAACCGGTTAAAGCAAGTAAATTAAAAACACCTCACATGACCTCTTTCATCTTTTAATCACTCCTGTTTGAGGTGTTAAAGGCTGGCACCTCCCTCAACTATGTAGGCATTTTTCTGTTGTTTCCTATTTAGTCACAAGTGGTTATGTGGGCGTGACTATTATCTGTACAACAGCTGACATTCCATGCATAACATACAGTAACTAGTTTCTGTTGTAAGTAACTGGGATATACACCGTCATTCTTACTCAGAGGTAAAATGTCTCACGGAGGATTTCAGTTGGACCAAAAATATATTTGCTGCTCGATCTGTTTGGATCTACTGAAGGATCCAACAACTATTCGCTGCGGACACACCTACTGTATGGACTGTATTAAAGACCACTGGAATGGAGAAGATGAGAGGGGGATCTACAGCTGCCCTCAGTGCAGGAAGAAGTTCAGACAGAAGCCTGTACTTGTGAAAAACATCATGTTATCAGAGTTGGTGGAGGATCTAAAGAAGACTGGACTCAAAGCTGCTCCAGCTGATCACTGCTATGCTGGACCTGAAGATGTGGCCTGTGATGTCTGCACTGGGAGGAAGATGAAAGCTGTTAAATCCTGTTTATCCTGCCCTGCGTCTTACTGTAGGGATCATCTCCAACATCATTATGATGCTCCACCATTAAAGAAGCACAAGCTGGTGAATCCCTCCAAGAGGCTTCTACAGAACATCTGCTCTCGTCATGATGAGGTGATGAAGATCTTCTGTCGTACTGATCAGCAGTGTATCTGTTATCTCTGCACCATGGATGAACATAAAGGCCATGAAACAGTCCCAGCTGCAGCAGAAAGGACTAAGAAGCAGAAGAAGCTCCAGGAGAAACAACAACAAATCCAGCAGAGAATCCAGGACCAGGAGAAAGATGTGAAGCTGCTTCAACA